AGACTTTTCTGCCCAATTACAAAATGCTACCCAAACCCAGGAAGAAGAAGGAAGAAGAAGCATGAAGAAGAGACCCAGGATGACACCCTGTGCCCTCCATCTTGCTTCCATCCACAACATACTAAAAATCCCAAAACCTCAATTTCTCACCAAGTGATACACCTACACTACTCTCTATAACCTGTTTCACACTTTTGTGGATTCCAGTCTATCTTGAAGTCTAGGAAACTTTCTCCATGAATGAGGGTCAAAGTCAGCTCTCCCCTGGGGGCCAGGACAGAGCAGACAGAGAAATATTCCTGGTCCCTGGGTTTCCACAGGGGCTCACCACTCTTCCACAAGTTCTGCACGAAGTGGGTCTCTCATGGCCTTGGGGAGCACGACAGTGCCAGAGGCAGCAGTGGGTGATCCAAAATCAGCCCTTTTCCTGACACAACAGATGGGCTGCTGCTGTGAAAAGGAAATGAATGTCATTGCATGGCTTGTAGTCTGACAGGAATGTCTGGAGAAGCTCTAATGTTGCTTCCCCACAAGCAGCTGTTGTCTGCATCCTCTTCCATGGCCTCCTGGGTGACTTCTTATTTTGAAAACAGTCCATCCTTCCTTCCACATTCCGTCTGGATGGAGGTTTTTGCTGGAGGGTTTCCTGCTCTTGTCTCCCCATTCCTGCACAGCTCTGCTTTCTCAGTCATGCCAGTGCAACTGCTCACCCTTAAAAGTGGATCACTGAAATATCAGCAAAAAACGAAGGAAGTTATTTTGGTTTTTTTAACCCAGACCAGAATAGAGATCTGTTTTCCAGCCACAGTCCCAGCACAGCTGGTGGAATAATGCTCTGCAGCAGAGAAACAGCAGAAAATGCCCAAATGAACAGTCTGGAGCAGGGAAGGGCTGCCCTCTCTGGATCTATCACATCTCCTCCTCTCCTGCATCAGCTGAGGGGAATTGGACCCTCACAGGGACCCCCTGGGAAAAGTCTTTTGTTGGGGGACCACAGCCACAGCAGATGAGAGCCAGCCCTTGAGCAACTGGGCCCTTGAGGGATCTAATCAAGCTGGCAGGGGTTCCCAATGCAGCAGTTTTTGTCACAACAGGACAAACGTGGCAGTGTTTTGACAGGCTGGGGCAGTGCTTGTCATCTGAATACCATGAGTTTGTGTTAAAGATTCTATTCCACTTTCCAAGAATGTGGCCTCTGCACCTCGTTGACAGCAGGGAAATGTTTCATTGCTGTACAAATGCAAGTAAATAAATGCAGAAGGTTGAAAATGCATCCTAGGTATGCTGTCGTTACCTAGCACCCAGAGAAATTAGTTTTGTTTGACAAAAAATGGAAACACCGCCAGGATATTTTGCTCCAGTTTAGCTTGTTTGCTAGAATTGTTTGTGGTTAGTAATGAGCACAAGGTTCACTTGTAATAATAATGTAACCATGGTAATATGATAACACAGGCTGATGCCAGGCTGATTTGCTGATAAGATTTATGCCCTATTATATTATCCAATGCAATTAAGAAATACACGGACAATTAACATTAGAATAGTTTAAAATAAAGGATCAGACAGCTGTGGGTCTCAGGCATAGTCTCCAAGTGTTTGTGTCACCCTGCTGTGTTTCAATGAGCAAGGAAAGCATTTGCTTTCATGTCACCAACAGGGAATTGTCATGTTCCTCATTTTTTCCAATTCCCTACACTCATTTTAGTGTGACAGGTCAGAAATGAACCTAGGAAAAGCAACAAGTGTTAATTGGCCTCATTCAATCTAAATTGAATTTGATGATCAGCAGGGTGAAAGACGAATGTGTGGTTTGGGATGTAGGGGTTTGCTCCCAGTGGGAAGGAAATGACCGGGAGATGGGGGTCAGAATCTCTCGCCCCTTGCCTGCGTGTTGGGAATTCACTGTGCCAACCACTACTTTCCCAGGACTCCTTTTAGATTACCAGAGGCAGCTCTTTCTTGTCTTGGAAGTTCTGTGGGGCAGAGATCATCTCTTCATTCCCCATCTATGAATGCTGAAGGAACACAGCATTTCTGCCACTTAATAATACAAGCACAGGAGTTGAGGCAGGATAATCATGGGATGAGCCATTTCATAACCGCCTCTGTAGCAGACAGAGTTACATCTCTCATAACATCCTAGCAACAGAGCTCCTCAATCATCAGCTCTTCTCCTTACCTGCAGACATCTCACTGCCTCACTCTTTGCTGTTTCCACGTTCAGTGGCGAATCTGGGATTATTTGTGGAGAATTTAATCTGAATACGCCAGTGAAGGGACAGCAACTTTCCAAAAGAGTGTAAGAGCAAGTCTTTCAGCTGTTGCCATAAGCCAGGAGATGAATGGTGGACAATTTTGGACTCAATTTTTTTTTCATATGAGAATCCTATGATTCAGCCCTTGCTAAGTTATGAGATGTTTGGTTTGCTGAGACAGAGGCCTCCAAAGGTCTAGGCAGAGCTAATATGGGAACTGGGGTCTCTCTCTTCTCTCAGATTGGTTTTTCATTGGGATGATCAACTGCAGTGTAACTGAGAGGGGAGAAACCAATCTCACTCTCTTGTTCCTCATGTGCTTAAAATCCCCATTTTACTAAAGAGTGACACCTACCCCTTTCTCCATCTTCTCACCTTATTGTCCCTTCTTGCTGCTTATGGGCCCTTCATTTTGCTGTTTTCTGAGTGGCTTCCTCAGTAAATTAAAAGGCCTGTATTTTATGCTCATTCTCTTTACTCTTCATGCTGCCTTCATACCCTGCCTTTCCAGGCTCTCTCCTCCCTTGTCTCCAAGACCTGCACTCTGCTGAGCTGCATCCTAGCTCTCAAATTGTCTCTGTGGCCTTCCCCTCCCTTGTTTTGTCTTAAGTGATGCCTTGTTTTCCTTCTTTATTCACATAAATTGTCATTTCTTGCTGGCTGCTCAATTGCACATCTCCTCCTCCCATGCTGTCCAGCCTCCCCAGTCCCACTGCTTCCCAGGCATCACATTCCTTCCTCTTTGGGGAAAAAGCTCAGTTTCTCTCCATTCATTCTCTCCTTCCCTTCCTCTTTGCTGATCCTATAGCCAGTCTGGTTCACTCAAAGCTCCATTCTCCTCTCTGTGTGATGTAGGGAGTTCACTGTTCTGGCAGTTCCTCTGTTTCTTTTCCTTCCTGGAACTAATGCACTGTGAAGGATGAACACAGAAATGTCAGTAGAGTCCTGGAGACAGCACCTTATGCTCCTCAGAGTGGAAGAGGTGACTTGGGAGGGAGGAATCGGGCTGAAATCTACAAGGTGATAAGTGGCAAAATAAAAAAAAATCATTAAGACAGATTTTATTCAGCTGTATTTTATTTTGGAAGCAATGTACACATTGTACAGTGCACAACAGCTCAGAAGGAGCTGAAATAGCTTTGCATAAATATTGCATGAAGCTTTGTGTGCAAACACATATGAGGCACAGAGCTATATGCAAAACCTGGCTACAAAGGGTGAAGGAAAATGTGGAAGCTTTTGCTTCCATACCTGGAGAGCTTCTGGTGCCCTTGGAAAAGTAAATCTGCATTACAATACAAGTTTCATCATCAACATGCTCAGGGATGCTGTGAGCCAAGATCCACGCAAGAAGGAAAGCCATGGAGAGGATTTTTAAGTCAGCAGGGGTGGTCTAAATGCTGTGGGGCAGGGGTTGAACCTACTTCTGGGCCTTTTATGGGCCAGGTACACAAAAGGAGTAGAGACAGTGGTCCAGCATGTGGCTTCTTTTTATTTCCAGTTTTTCTTAGCAATCTCAGGTGAGCTGGGATGATATGGAGGGAGCCTTTGAAAAGTCACTCCCAATTCAAACTAAAAGATGCCCTGCACTGCCACAGCCGTGGGCTGAAGCTGCAAAAAGAAACCGAGTTGGATTTGGCTTCAACCATCCTCTGAACATGTGCCCTCACCTGCATCTGGGCCAGGATTTGGGAGGGCTGGTTTTAAGCTGCAAGAGGAAGTGGATGTCCTATTTTGAAACCACTTTACAGTGGTTTAAGAAGACTGTGAAGTAAGGATTTTGCCAGCTGTGGGCTCTCAGGACAAGGATCCACGAGGTAAAGCAGGGGTATGGCACACCACTATGTGTTGTGTTCTGCAAACAGAATGGGAATGAGAAGACAAATTCCATCTGAAACCTACCACTACCACAAACACTCATAATCTTTTGAGGGATAGTGAGAAAGAGCATTTCATTATGTTAATAATGTCCATGAGAGCTGCTGTACAGTGGGCTCACATCTTCCCAAACAAACCCCATATTGTGGAGGACTCCCTCAATGCCTGTTTCTTCCTCTTCCATTTTCTCCCCTTAGTACATGCCTGCAGCTCAATTTTTGCTCTATTTTGAAACTAACATTTTCTTTTTCTTCCCTTCAGCATCTGCATTCCACTCTCCGCCTCTTTCCACCACATGCCCATTGAAAACCTAATTGCAGATCCTTTGCTGCAATTAGTCTGCGTGCTGCTGCAAAGTTCACTTCATTATGGCTTTTTTGGACTGGTTTACTCACACAGGCTTTGCAGCAACTGCTGCTCACCAGTGCTTTGATCCCACTGCCCATGCCCTGGTCAGCACCCCAATGCAAGGACTTCCATGTTCTCCTCTGCTTTCCACTTTTCCCTCTCCTTACACCCTCACCTCTTCATGCCTAGATTTTTATTTTTTTTCCCCCAGATGCATAATTTTTGTTCCTGGTTTGGATGTGCCGGTCTGTATAAGCAGCGTTTGGCTTTAAACTGATAGAGGGCAGGTTTAGATTAGGAATTAGGAAGAAATTCTTCCCTGTGAGGGTGTGAGGCACAGCTTGCCCAGAGAAGCTGTGGATGCTCCATCCCTGGCAGTGCTCCAGGCCAGACTGGACAGAGTTTGGAGCAGCCAGGTCTAGTGGAGGCGTCCGTGCGTTGGAACGAGGTGGTTTTTAATATCCCAACTCAAACCGTTCTGCGATTCTATAATAATAATAATTCTGTCATCACTCTGTGATGGTCCGCGACTACACCGTGCAGGGCTCCAGAGGTCACGGATGGAGTTTTTGGGAAGGTCAGCGGTTTGCACTCCCGCATCTCCCACCTTCCCGCACCCCGCGGCGAGCGGACGACGGAGGTGAGAGGAGGAGGGGAGGGAGGAAGATGATGAGGAGCGAAGCGACCACGGGCGTGGATCCGCGGCCGGGCGGGGAGGAAGGCGGGCGGGAAGGAGGGATGAAGGAGGGATGGAGGAGGGATGGAGGAGGGATGGAGGCGGGGCCGCGGCGGCGGCGGGGCCGGGGCAGGCGGCGGGGGGACCCGCGGGGGCGCCGCGGGAGCCCGATGCGCGCTGGCGGGAGAAGGGCGAAGCGGAGGCGGAGCGGCAGCGCACCCGGGAGCGGCTGGAGGCCACGCTGGCCGGGCTGGGCGAGCTGGAGTACCTGCGGCAGCGGCAGGAGCTGCTGGTGAAGAGCCTCCTGCTGCGGCGGCCGGCGGGAGCGGGGCCCGGGGCGCAGGGCGGCCGCGGGGAGCCGCCGGGAGAGGGACCGCCGCCGCGCAGCCTGGAGGAGAAGTTCCTGGAGGAGAACATCCTCCTCCTGCGGAGGCAGCTGGTGAGCGGGGGCGGGGGGCGCCGCGGGATGCGAGTGGCGAGCGCCGCGGGATGCGGGCGGGGAGCGCCGGGGATGCGGGCGGGGAGCGCAGGGGATGCGCGCCCGCTCGGTGCCCCCGTGTCGGTGTGACCCGCGGGTCCTGCCCGCGGAGAGGCGAGAAGGGAGCTGGGAACCCCCGCCGGCGGCACCCCCGCCCCGCTGTCACCCGGCACGGCGCGCAGGTGAGGCGGCGGGCCGGTGACAGCTCGGAGGTGGACGGGTCGTGCCCGCGTTGTGCCGGTGGCCGCACGGTTCCCTTCGGGTCCCGGAGCCAGGCCGGCGGTCCCACTTCCATTCATGGCAAGAGAGGCGCCGCCGTTGCCATGAATGGAAGTTGGGAGCCAGCTCCCGGGTCCAGCCCCGAGAGGAGGCAGCGGGCGCTCGGGCACCGGCAGGATCGGGCCCGGGAAGAAGGGATGCTTTTGTTGGAGGACGCGCTTTGGAGCTGGTGTGGGAAGAGATGGAGGGCGGCATGAAGCGGCAGATCATTTTTCAGTGAAAATAGCGTACAGCTGTGCCTGGCGCTCTTTGTGCGCCGCTCAGCATTTGCTTTCACCCAAGGAGAAGTTAGATTGCGTGATTTATTTCCTTATTTCCTGATTTTTTTCCTTTCCTCACCCCCCGTTTTTCCTCCTTTTTTTTTTTTTTTTTTTTTTTTTTTTTTTTTTTTCTTATTGCCCTTTTGATTTAGTTAGGTTAGGGTTATTTGCCTTTTAAAAATATCAAAATAAATTATTTTTTTTCTGCTGAGAAGGGGCTGGCTGGCGGCCGAGAGCCGTAGTGAAGGACCACGGAATCATTACTCAAAAAAAAAAAAAAAAAAAAAAAAAGTCGGGGATTTGTGGTAGCACTTTAATTTGTGCACTTGACATTGCAGATTGGAACCAGATGCGGTGCTGACTGGGGGAGGGGGCGCTGGTGGCAGTAGGTGGCGCAGCGAAGTCATCCCTTGAACCCATCACCTCCTCCAGCCTGGCTGCCAGCCAGCCCTGGCTCCCCCAGGAATCGGGGAGAAGGCTTGGGATCACCCCTTTGGTTCTCCAAAGGATGGCCTTAAACGCCAGCACATCTTCAACTAGTGCTTGCCAGTGCTTTTAGCATTTATTCTCCCTTTGCCCAAGGCCAGGCTGGACAGGGATCTGAGCAACTGGTTTAGTGGAGGGTGTCCCTGCCCATGGCAAGGAGGCTGGAACGAGGTGATCTTTAGGGTTCCTTCCAACCCAAACCCTTCTATGAATCTATGATTCTATGACTGGTCCACTCCATGGGAAAGATTATCCTGGATTTAATGGGTTCAGATTTAGTCCGGCTATGAGCATCAAAACTCATTGCAATGAATGTGTCAGAGCACCCCTGGGTGCCAGTCAAATGATGCACTTGAAGAAACAAAAGTAGATGAACCTTTCTCCTGCCTCCTCCCCTCTCCCCAAAGCTAGAGCAATTAAAGGGTATGAAGCTGAACAGATGATGGATAAGCAACATTATAATACACAGGGGGAAACTGATTGTGTTGACCGTGGGTTAATGAGTGCCTTGCAAAATAATTTCATATTGCTTATTTTATGCCATCAAATTACCTTCATAAATAGCCTTAAAATTCATCTCGCAGCAATTTCATACAATTATAAAGGGAGAAGAGGAAGAATTACTCTTCCTTCCTGCTGCACTGCAAAACTAATAAAAGGGTTGTGATCCCAGCCCTGGGAATCTTGCTCTCTGGATGGTGGACTCTAAGCTCACAATGTGCAGCAGAACAAGGCGGTTCCCACACCACAGGCACTTGTTGGCAGAGCTGTTTGGTGCCATTGTGTGAGCAGATGTGATCTTTGAGTAACACCAGTGTGGTGGGGAACGTGCCCTGCTAGGCTGGCACGGCCGTCCTTGCCCGTTCCATGTGCACAGGTCTGGTTGGGCCATATCACACAATCCAGCTTTGTTCTTCCAGCTGTGGTCAGCACAGCCCGCTGGTCTTCCTGAATTGTGGAGCATGCTCTCATGCAGAACTGGCTGGAATAGGCTGGGATGAAATGCCTGCGGAATTTTTCACTGAAGTATTTATCCAGAGCATCCATCTAAAATGTCAGGGCTTTGTTTGGTTTTTATGTAAAAGAATATAGACGAGGTGTTTCACAAGGCTTAGATGGAGAAATTTGTTGGTCCTTGGGACCCCTTCACATCTGCCCTGCTGAAGGAGCTTATGTTCTTTGTCCTCTTCTTTTGCAGAACTGCTTGAGGAGGAGGGATGCTGGGTTATTAAATCAGCTGCAAGAGCTGGATAAGCAAATAAGTGATCTCCGCCTGGACGTGGAGAAAACGACAGATGAACACCTGGAGACAGACAGTCGTCCAAGTTCAGGTAAGGGCAGTGCTCAGCAAAATCCAGCCTCCCTTGGCACCTGGAATTAAACTGCCTGTAGATTTTAGTGCTGCAGTTTTCAGTACTGCAGCAGTAAATGTCTACATCTCGCTCACACTCTGATAATTAATCCCTACTATCAGAGTTCACTGACCACTGGAAAGGCTGCTATTTGCTTCTTTCAGAGGAGCATTTCAAGCTTAATTAGATTTTCAGTGTTTGGGGCATTTGTTTTTTCAAGGCCACCCTCACATTAGTTCGAGAAGTTCTAATTGTCCTGTGTATTAGGGAGGAGGTTGAAGGAAAAATGGTGAAAAGAAGCACCACTGTCTGGAGGAAGATATCAAAAGTGGTCATACAGCCAGAAAGGAGGATGGAATCAAACAATTCAATCCTCCATATATTGAATTTCATCTCATTCTAACTGTGTTGAAGCCAGTAAGTGGTATTTAACTATGGGGAACCTTTCCTAGAGGCCCCTAGACTTGTGCTGAACACACTACAAAATGGTGAATCCTCCAACTAGCAATTGTTAAAGCTAATTGCTAATTTCTAGTCTGAATCTGACTTGTTCCAGCACTGATATTTTTATATCCTTTTCTCCCCTAAAGAAAGGTCTTTTCTAATACCCAGCGTTTCCTCCTCTTGAAGGTGCTATACATTATAATTCCTGGCTTTTATTTGATGAGCTAAACAGGTCAAGTTCTTGAAGTCATTCATTTTAAGGCATTTTTCCAAGCTCCTAAATAGCTTGGTGGCCTCTTTCCAATTTTTTAGCTTTCTTTTAAGCATGCTGGATTCAAGGACTGGGCTCACCATTCCAGTGTTTCTTACCAGGGCTGTGTAGACTGCTGAAGTCATTTCCCTGCTGCTATTCATTAGCCTCTTTGTACATCCAACAATCTCATTAGCTTTTTTTTCTTTTTTTTTTTTTTTGCCATATCATTAAGCTTGATTGAGCTGCTTTTCCACGCTGACTAAGCCCTTTCCAGGATTATTGTTTTCCAGGATGCATCCCCATTCTGTAGGCATGCTCTGCATTCCTTACTCCTAAATAAACTATTTAAATTTTGGTTGTGGTATGTAATTTTTCCTTGAGTAGTCCCAGTTTACCAGGAAATTAAATTTGCTGCATCTGCACATTATTTACCATTTTTCTTCTTTTTGTAATCCACAAATATAGTGTTTATCTCCAGAACTTTGAGGAAAGTAATGGATAGCATTGGGCCCAACACTTTTATAGTTAAGTAATAGTTGGAGAGTCTGTCTTGGAAGTATAACACTCTATTAAATGGGTGAGCTGCCAAACATAGCCTGGATCCTTGTTGCTAAAATCTGAAAATCCCTGAAAGGGTTAGAACCCCAACCCTTGTAAAGTTAAAAAAAAAATCCACATGCTAAGATAAGTTCTGCTGTTTTAAGTGCTTTACTTTTAAACAAAGTAAATTCATGGCAATAAGGATATTACTAAATTGTTGGCTGGTTTTGGGGTGACTGAATGAAGTCCCATAACTGCTTGTGTTAGAGTAAGCCAACTCAAACACCAGCTTGACTGCCTTTCTAGGGACACAAATAGTAACTTTGTGTAGACATAACTAATATAAATCCAAACTCTTATTTTTATAGGGTTTTATGAGCTGAGTGATGGAGCTTCTGGATCGCTTTCCAATTCATCTAACTCTGTCTTCAGTGAGTGTTTATCCAGTTGCCATTCTAGCACTTGCTTTTGCAGCCCTTTGGAGGCAACACTGAATATCTCAGATGGACGCCCTAAATCTGCAGGTATAGTAAAAGCAGGTCGAATACATCATACTCCAGGAGGTGGCTTTGGCTTTGGAAATACTGCCTCAGGAGTACCTGGGTTGGATTAACCCTTCTTCCTTTCATGTGCCATATTATGCTCTGAAAAGATCCCAGTGCCTCTCACGTACATGGGTCATGAGGCAGGGTTGTTTGCCCTCCACTGGTCCAGCTTTGCACATGAATATGTCACTCTAAACACACAAAAATGGCTTGTGAAGATCTGGCAGCTGCTCTACCCAGCAGAGGGCAGTGGTACCTGTACACAGAAACACATCAGTCAGCTGATTTCTCTTTCTTTAGAAAAGCATTTTTAGTGAATAGCAATAATTAATGATAGCTCTTAGCCATGTCAGCATTACAGTCACAGAGTAAGGAGCTGGCTACAGGTTTTAGGGGGTCAGGGCACATGTTTTTAGAGTAATTTTGTCAATTCTGATTGCTTGCCTTGACCCCGAGTGAGCATGGTGAAGTGTGTCCTGCATTTATATGGTATAGACAGGTAGACATCATGAACATGCCAGGTACATTTTGCCTCTTTGGCAGAGAGCTGTGAACTTTCCTTGGACACCAGTCTGAAGATGCAAGCCTAGATTTTTGGGATGGTTCAATAGGAAGGCCTCCTCTGCTCTCCAGAAGAGACTCTTCAGTAGGGCTGTTGTGATCCAGTGTTACTGACTGCAGACATTTTCAAAAGCTTTAGCTCGTTCTTGGTTGGGGAGGATGATTCCAACCACAGTATTTCCACTTTGCATTCTGCTCTTTAAGTTTAGCTTATAGTGATTTGTTGTGAATCAAGGACAGAATAATTCATGCTCTTCTGTTTCTGAACTGGGAAAGTGCAGCCTGGAATACATTCATTCTGAGATGCTGACAAGTCCTCTAAGTTTTCCTGTGAGCAGCTCGAGGTAATTTAATGCTCCCTGTTGTAAGGTATATGTGATCTTCATGGGCCATACATTAAAACAAGAAAAAAAAAACCACACACACAAGGAATTCCAGCTGATTGCATTGCTGGTTTTTTCTGTATACACCACAAAAACCTATACCTTTCATGATTCATACAGTCTCACTTTCACGGATGAAATTTCACAAACTGACAAATTTCAAAAATATCTTTTTGTCAACATTCCTTGAAGCCAACATAGAATTTAGGAAATGTAGGAAAACTGAGAAGTGATCTGGAGGAAGTTTATGGTCTTAACTTCCCTGTTCTTCCTTTCCTGCTTACACAGAAACATCATCTCTATCAGCAAATTTCATCAATGCCCATGAGACCTCTTTGAAATAAGCCTTAGATAAGTGATGAGCACTGAGCATTCCAATCAGAGTACCCTGGCTGAAGTTTCCAGCCCAAGGGCAGAAAACAGGACTGGCAGAGGATCATTTAGATTGTACCCCTACCCAAGAAGACAAGGGCAACTTAAGCTTAAAAAATAATAGTAATCTTAGGTGCTTGGGTGGAAGCCCAGCTCTTAAGGTTGCATACCTTTCTAGTAACCTTAGCCATTAAATCTGACTCATGCATCGTGAAATGCACTGGATTTCTCTGGCAGAACTCTCTTTGCAGAGCCAAGGCTAGGATGTCAGCTGGATTGACCTGCACTTCTTGTACTTGTGTGAAAACATGAGCCTGTTTCCCATTCCATAACCCCTTATCACTCAAAAGGAGCACCTGTTATTACTATTAACATTGCTATAAATATTATCATAATAATAGTAGTAACAATAATAAAAATAACCATAAATTAAGTCTGGATTTTTTTTCCTAACCTGAGACATGCTTGAAAGAATCCAGAAGTAGAATTTGTCAGTAAGCTACAAGAATTAATTGTTCTCTTGTCTGTATTTTTTATGTTTCTCTTTGGATTTAAAATTCATGTGTGCTGAGGCCTGCAGAGAGTTTCACAGGTGACTGTGTAACAAATAAGAGACCCTTGCAGACTTCTGGGTGGCTTGAAAGGAAGATAGGAAGATCTTAACAACCTGGGCACAGGTTTGAAACCAATGCACATGTTCTCATTAGGGCTGTGATTTTTATTGTTTTAACCATGTGGTCCTAGTGGGGTAAATCCAGCATAGATGCAGTGACAGGGAGACCCACGGAAGGATAGTGCTGCTTTTTGTATTGCTTGAACAGCACCACTGGTTGCAAAATTGCTGCTGCTGTAGTTAGAGCTTTGCATTGTGTGCCTAGATGGACCGGCGTCCTTGGCAGCAGATTAAAAACGTAGCACAGCTGTCCCTGGCAGGCTCTCTAAACTCTCCTAAAATGCCTTTCAGATCTCATAGGCTGGATGGACTATAATAAGGAAGGCCAGCATGAGGACCAGACCGCAGGCTCTGTCTGTCGCTCTTTATCCACACCGCACTCAAATTCCCTCGATGTCGTTGCAGATGTACATCCCAAGTACCAGTGCGATCTGGTGTCTAAAAACGGGAACGACATCTACCGCTACCCCAGCCCGCTCCACGCCGTGGCTGTGCAGAGCCCCATGTTCCTCCTCCCCGTGACTGAGAACCTCCAGCGAGAAGAGGAGAGGCTCGCTTGCGATATCAGCGACGTTTGCACCCCATCCGAAACGGACTCGGGACAATCCGCCAACGCCTTCCCCCCACAGAGCTCCTGGCCGGCTCCGTGCCCTTCCACCAGCAAGAGGATAGACAGCTACATCTTAAGCCTGGTTCAGAAAAAGACTCACGCAGTAAGGACTAACAAACCCCGGACGAGTCTCAACGCCGATGCCACCAAAGGGATCTTGAGGCATGGGAGCATGTGCGTCCGGCAGCCGGCAGCAATGGTGGCCCACGGCAACGTAGTGAACCTGAAGAGCTCCAAGCCGGTGTGTTTGCCTCCCGGTGGGGCTCCCGCTCCGGACCACACGGCTCCCTCCCCGTTAAAGCAGAGGCCAAGGGAGCCGGCTGGGGAGCAGCTGGAGAGTAGGAAGGCCCCTTTGCCAGCAGCTTTCCCACCCGGCACAACAACAGAACTCCAGAGCAAGCACCTGCCACGGGGAGTCAAACCAGCACCGTCGGAGCTGGGCCGCAACACCGCGGCCACAGCCGGGGACGTCCCCAAGGAGAACGGCCAGCTCTTTGCTGCGTCTCCCAAAGAGACCCCAGGGAAGCCAGTGGTGCTGCAGCCAGAGAACAGGGTCAGCCAGCCTCCCAAAAAGATCCTGTTGAAGAGCAGCTTGCAGGCTGCTCGCTCCTCATCACCGGCTGTCGAGGAGAGGCCCGCGCTGGATTTCAAAAGCGAGGGCTCTTCCTCGCAGAGCCTGGATGATGGGCTGCTGGTGAACGCCCAGTACATCCCGGCCCAGCAGCAAAGCATGAAGCTCCACAAAGGCACCCGGAATGTCAAGATTTTGAAAAGCTCTGCGTTGAAACACAGGTCCCACCTTGCCAACGGGGTGGAAAACAGCTCACAGACCTTGAGGGAGAAAGCCAAACTGGTCGGCAAGAAGTGCCGCTTTCCTGAGGAGTTGGATACAAATAAGAAACTGAAAAAGCCCTCGTCGCGGGGGAAGAGAGGCAGCGGCCTGCCGCTGGAGCCGAGCCTCCCGGGCCGGCAGGCCGGCCTGCACAGATCCGCCCTCCGCTCCCATGGGCATGGCCGGGAGGTCGTGGTGGCCAAGCCCAAACACAAGCGTGCCGACTACCGCCGCTGGAAGTCCTCGGCGGAGATCTCCTACGAGGAGGCCCTGCGGAGGGCGAGGAGGAACCGGCGGGAGGGCGTGGGGGTCTACTCACAGGTGCCCCTGCCCTATGTCAGCCCCTACGCCTACGTGGCCAGCGACTCGGAGTACTCAGCCGAGTGCGAGTCCTTGTTCCACTCCACCGTGGTGGACACGAGCGAGGACGAGCAGAGCAACTACACCACGAACTGCTTTGGAGACAGCGAGTCAAGCCTGAGTGAGGTGGAGTTTGTAGGGGAGAGCACGACCACCAGCGACTCTGATGAGAGCGGGGGCCTGATTTGGTCCCAGTTTGTCCAGACGCTCCCCATCCAAACAGTCACGGCGCCGGAGCTGCATGAAAATGCAGCCAAGGCCTTTGTCAAAATCAAAGCCTCCCATAACCTCAAGAAGAAGATCCTCCGCTTTCGGTCAGGCTCCCTGAAGCTCATGACGACCGTCTAGTGAGGTGACTTGGTGGAATGTATCTGCTTCTGCTTTTGGAAGCAAGGTGCTTTTTTTTGTACATATTTCCACAGATTTTTTTTTTTTTTTAAATACAAATATTTAAAACTTAAGGTAAATTATGTCACTTGTCTTCAGAACTTGGGTGGATACTAGTGCCTTTTATGTGGAAATAAAAGACCGTTACACTTGTTTAAAAAAACCCAACAACACAACACTGCCATTTCAGTGGTGAACAGCCTCCAGCGCATGGTGTGTCAGAAGGCTTTGAGAAAAGGCTAAAATGTTTCTGGGAATGGATCTTCCTTGCCTAGTTTTTCCAGTTCTGGGTCTTATACAGGATATCGACAGCTTAAGGTCATAAGTTTTTAGGGAATAAAGGGGAGGGAGTGAGGGTGTTTCTTAATGTTTTTGCTTTTCCCTTTCTGCTGCTGCTGTTGCCACATCTTGAACTTTTTCCTTCTGGTACTCTGGTCTGTTTTTTTTTTCTTTTCTTGTTGATTCTCTTCTTGCAACTCACTCCTGTCCTCCCCCAGCCATCCCCCACCAGGAAAGGGCTCCTGTTCAATCTGTCTCCAAGGTTAAGTCGCCTTCCCTGGAGTGCACTCTACTCTGATCTCCTGGGAGTCCCACTGCGGATGCCAGTGGTGTCCAGAGTAAACTGCAGCTGGAGCAGCTGACCAAGGCTTAGTAACTTCATTATATTGTGTAAAACTGCTTTTGAAAAAGAAAAAAAAAAACCATATGCATGTCACGTGCATGAGTATCAGTAGTTTTAATATTCCTGTTGATGTCCAATTTGCTGTACATCATCAATGGCTGTTTTTATATATATATATATATCATTGTGTAAATTAATATAACACATCATATGCTGTAATAAACAGTCTGTTTTAATACTTTTTAAAGTTTGTTACGTTGGTGCAGACCCAGTCAGTGCTTTTATATTGGTGTTGTCACCTCTTAGATGTCTCCTTATGTGACCTGATAATGTTCCTTGCATTTAGCCGTGCGGGAAAAGGGGCAAGTTTAAAATGCTGCTGTGGATGTGACTTGTGCTTTGAGGGAATTGGCTTGTCATGGCTTCTCTTGTTCTTCTCATAGCTTGCATTTTTCCAAGGGCAAGGTGGGATTTAGGAGCTCAGAGGCATCTTCAGGTTGTTGCTGATGGGCAGCTCATGTTTCAGAGCAGATGGAAGTATAACATTAATCCTGCTGTCTGTCTGGGTGCTTGCAGACTTTGGTTGGTACAACACAGGGGCAGATGGTTGGTTTCTGTAACCAAATCGATCTGTGGGACACAACAGGTGTCCCCATGGAATGTCCAGTAAGTGAATCCCCAAGAGCTGTGTGCTCTGGGAGCTGGGCTGGGTGGAGGAGAGCACAGGCTGCCTGTCCATGGTGCCCTCTGTAACTTTGGCTGTTGGCTCTGTTACAGCCCTAGCAGGGTCATGGAAGGTGACAACTGGGTCACCCACTGGTCTCTGTCTCAGGTTCTTCCCATGGGACTGGAGGGGAGTCTGTCAGCAAAGGAGAAAGGAGCCCTGCATAGGCAGCACTGCTTCTATTCACAACAAAACCTTTGGAGCTGCCTGGTGGGAAGGTTGGAGGTTTTGGGCAGGTTGAGCTGGTTGCTGCAGGTTCAGCTTCTGCTTTGGCATCCACAAATAGACAAACAACTGGAGTGGGTGCTGTGGCTGGTGTGGATTTCAGGGATATGTGTGCAGCCTGTCCATTCCATAGCAAGGTCTGAGCAGAGCTTTCCTTTGTGGTTCCTCTGTGTCCTTCCTGCTGTCACCCACCTGAAAGGCAGAACAGGTTTTTTTCCCAGGTTTTTCTGCATCACAAATGTGGGAAGGAAGGATCCACTCAGAATTAAACATCTCAGGGAGCAGCTTCTGAGACAGTGAGAACACTTTTCCTGAGAGGCACATTTTATTTTTTAATCTGCAGTGTAGTAAATCACTATTTATAATGTTGCATATTATTATTTTCCTATTTGTGGTTTGTTTGTTTTTTTGTTTGTTTGTTTTTATAAGGAGTAGAAAATCAGTTTCTGTAAGGGTTTTGCAGTACATCACCAGGCTGTGGATTCAGTGACCCAGAAAGTTCTTGCACTTCCACCTCCCGTGAAACAGCAAAAGCTGTAACTCCCCTTATCTGCTCATAACTCTCCTATTACCTTATACATGGAAAGGCAGCCTGTATATATATATATATATGTGTGTGTGTGTGTGTGTGTGTGTGTGTGTGTATGTATGTATAAAAAATATTATATATTGGTTTAGAAGAATTCATCCAGAAATTGCTGGACAAAGGCTGCCACTACAGAGAGGGGAGAGAACTAATGTTTGTTGTAAAATATGGCAGTACTAAGGCTAAGCAACAGCTTAAAGCCATCCCATTAATAACTGATGGGTGTTATATCAAACAAAGGGAATGTCTTATGGAAGCTGGTAGTTTTTTTCCTAGAATAGCTCTTAATCATGCTATATAATCTCTCTTTGAGCGAGAAAAACATGAGCAAATCCCTGTAAATCTCCTCAAAGGTGTGGAAGAGGAGCAGAGAGGATCCTCAGCTGTGCACTCTCTGGCTGTAAAGGAGCTGCTGGTGGAAAAACAAACCAACACCAAGTGGCATTGGGATGATGAGTTTTTAATTGCAGTGCTATAGCAGATTGCCTTGTACTGAGTGAGGGAGGCTGCCTTTCAAAAGTGAGCTGCTGAATGGTTTCTTTTCAGATAATTGCGTAAAAAAAGAAAATAAAATAACTGCCTGAATAACATTGAGGCTGTATCAGCTGCAGCCACTGTATTCTGCAGTTCTCTTGTTGAATAGCTTAATACCAGACTTGGAAATGGACTGATGGTATCTCCCTCTTAATTGCAGCTGGGTCTTTTCAGTTTGGGGAAGGAATTTTCCTTTTTTTACGTGATTTAGGTAAGCATCCAGAATCCTTTATCCAGGCCTAGTTTTTTCTATCAACACCCAACCCCCTCATTTTTCCTTTTTTTTTTTTCTTTTTTTTTTAATAACAGATCTTAACAGTGCTGGAAAAGTACTTGATATGGTCCCAATACACAACACACATTCTCATCTCTGGTTCTGATTTAGGAAACACATCTGAGTTAGTAAGTTTTTGCAACATTAGGTTGAAAAACATCTGCTGGTCTTGGAGACCAGTTGAATATCTGGCACTTCTTTAAGCTACCTGGCTTTCCAGCTTCAGAGCTTGCCAGTGTATTTTTCATGATGTTCACTTTTTAATTATCCCCAGTGTTTATGGTTGTTTTTGGAAGCCTGAAGCAGGAACATTTCATTGCACTGGGAGCTGTTTCAAGGTGGGGGTAGGTGGTAGAGGGGAGTTTTGGGATTAGGTATCCCTACATTCCTTATGTGCAGGAAAGTACAGGAGCATAAAGGAACATGAGCAGAGTCCTTGGAGCTGGATTCCTTGTGGTTCAGATAATGCAGTGTTTCTGCACACCTCTGGAATACCATCACTCCCACTGAGGGAATCAGCACCACACTCTGAGGGGATGAGTGTGTCACAGGGCTGTCTGCCTTCCAGCAGGCTTTCTGGGTCTATCCTCTGTTCCCTCACCCCAGCCACCAGCTGTGGGTCAGCAAATAAAGAACCAAGCTGTGTCTGGTGTGTGTGGGGTCAGGGAGAGGCTCTGGCCTGGTGCCCAGACGTCCCAACTGCGTGGGGCCCCTGCTGTGGACCTCCTGCTTGCCGTGAGAAATCCAATGTGTCTGTGGAGCAAGGGCTCAGACAGCTGGCTTTGAGGGAAAGGAGGAGTGGAGAGTCCCGTCAATAGAGTGGTCTGATCCTGGTTCATCTGCATTTCTGGAAGAGGTGGGAAGAGGAGGTGTTTCAACCTAACACCTCGCTCAGTAAGTTAGACTGGACTAAGTGGAGTCCTCCCAGGGACTCTGTCTCATTTCTTCCAGAAAAACCATCTGACCAAGTCCTGTAGGAACTGGGGACAAGAGATGAGCTTCCATTCCCCAGGTCTGGGTTTGGCCTTCCACAACACAGCCCCTGCTTGCAGAGAGCCTCTAGGTCCCAGCCCTCTGTAGCTTTCCTGGTCCTGGAGCTTCAGCAGGAATCTGTCCATCCCTCCCAAGTGTTGTACTTTTCTCATGGCCTGGGGTTCATGCTGGATAAGCACTGAAAACAGATTTTCCACAACAGTCCTCTGCCTTCAGTAATCGCAGATCTGTTTGTTGGCTCAGAGGAAGGTCAGGCACTCCTCAGGTGGCAGCCAACAAAGCCATCCCTGGGGGACCTGCACCCCTTCCTGACACAAAGGGCAGCAAAGGCTTTGATGAGCAGTGGTGGCCACTTGGCAGGCGACTCACCACACTGGGCACATGGTTCTTCTTACAAGAGGGAACAAGGACATTTTTGAGGAAGCAGAAACAGCTAAATACATTTTTAATAGCTAACTTCAGAGTATGTACCTTTGGAGTAGCCAACAAAAATAAATATGACTGAGCTGCTAATACAGAAAACTGAACCTTTCTCAGTTTAACATTACAGATGGAGAACTGTGGTGAGAAACAATTGATGCTGGAGCATATCCAGAGAAGGGCAATGGAATGGATGAAAAGACTGGTCTAGAGCAGAAGTCTTGAGAGAAGTGGTTGAGGGGGCTGGGAGCCTCAGCCTGGAGAAAAGGAGGCTTAGGGGAGATCTTATCACCCTCTACAACTTCCTGAAAACAGGGTAGAGCCAGGTGGGGTTGATCTCCCAATTAACATGCAATAGGACATGAGGAAATGGCCTCAAGTTGCACCAGGGGAAGTTTGGATTAGATATTAGGAGAAAACACTGAAAGGATGTTCAGGCACTGGAACAAGCATCCCAAGGAAGTGGTGGAGTCACCATCCCTGGAAGTGCTGAAAAAAAAGTGGCACTTGGGGACTTAATTTAGTGGTGAACAAGATGGTGCTTGGGTTGAGTTGGACTTCAGCTTAGAGGTCTTTTCCAGCTTTAACTGTTCTATGATTCTTTGAGTGGCTTTGAGGTTTGAAAATTCTCACCGTTCTGGAATGAGGGAAGGTACATGAAAACCAGAGGGATCTATTTAAAAAGGATACTAGAAAGTGCTTTTTTGACACAGCAGGGAATTTGTTTCTGCTGGAAATAGTGAGATGGATGTAATATCAGCAAGTTCAGAGGGAAAGAGAAGGTAGGGATGGATGCTCTACCAATGATTGTGGATGTCAGGAAGCGTGTGAGGTGACTGGTCTGCGAACAGTGGCCAGGCTTGTGTGCTCCTCCTCAAGACTGTCTTTTCCTGCAGCTGCTGAAGCACCATTAGCTGGGGGAGATGCACCGTCCTCCTGACCCAGCAGACCATTTCCTGTGTTCCTCTGGTCTTGAGGTAACTAATAGGAGTTGTCTATGCAATTGAATTTTCCTCACTCTAATATTTATTAGTCTTTTGCCCTCCCAACTTTTGCTGAAGGCGAGTTTTGCATTGCTTTGCCAAGAAGTTCACTTTCCACACTTGGCTGATGGTGACATGCATATATCCAGACTATGGTTTTGGTCACTCCTGTCCTCTAGCACAGTAAATTCATCCACCCTTTCAGGCAGGAACTCTAAATCCTCTGTTATGTGAACATCATCCCCTGTACCACAGATACAGTTATGGACACAATCCATTGTGATCCTCATGACTTCAGTCCATAAATGAATCTACCTTGGGAGTCACTGTTGGGCAGCAGTTTTACACCCTGCAGTTGCTTATAAACTGCAGGAAAAGCTGGTGACCTACAAACCAGATGAACGTCCTTGAGCCTGAGTGCCTCCACTGCTCTTTGCCTTGGGAATTTGCTGTCCTTGGGGAGTTTTTCTCTTCATCTGTCTCCACTTGTGCCTTG